TTGGAGTTCAGGAGATTGTCTTGACCAGGACCACACCCCTAAATGCATTGAAGCAACTGCCATGTGATTGGTTGATTAGATAATTACATTAATGAGAAATTGAACAGGTGTTCCTAATAATCCTTTAGGTGAGTGTACATTTAGACAATGATAGACAGTGACAGTAATTATTATTATATAATAAAATACATTTAAAAATAAAGATTTCTTATTCATTATTTTAATATTAATAATAAACCATTAATAGGTTTAATTATAATAATATTGTTGTGCCGAGCGGGGACGGAACGGAGACAAAGGTATTCGAGTTCCCACCTAAAGAAGCAGTATAGATTAATACCGATACTGGGTATTCGAGTGAGGAAGTCCAGCAACAACAATCACCATCCAAGCGCAGGCGAAGCAAGTCAGATAAATATTCAAAATTCGTGCAAGTACTAATTACCAGTAACGATTCATGACAGTAGCAGCCCATTTTTTATTCTTATATTGTTTTCATTTCTTACTTTTACATAAATTTAAACATGAAGTTTCCATTGGTATTACTGCCAAATGTAATGTACTGTATGGCACTACAAAAGTGACTGCATATCAATACAAATACATATTTGCTACCGAAATAACTGAATTTTAGGTTTTTTATTTTTTATTGTGCTGAAATATGATTTTTTTGTTTGCTAGGGATATTTTGGGGAGATTGTGGTCTCTTGAATGGACTTGAAAGTAATTATAATTGTACCCATAAGAAGTAACGGATACAGCTTCTTGATATTCAAGTTTGCACTATTAGAGAGGTGTCTCTAAACCGATTACACTCAGATAATAGGAAATAGGTGTAAACAGAAGATTAGCCAAGGAAGGCAAAGCTTCTTCCCTCTCCACTGTTCATGTTTAATACTTCTACTCCCCTGCAGCTCAAAACTCTTGTTATGCCAAACTGTCTCTTAGCCAACGGTGGCTCACCGGTCTCTAGGTGCGTGTTGCTCTTCCTTCCTGGGTCCCTGCGGAGCTGGATGCCCTTCACAGAGAAAATGGAGGCAGCTGAAGAGGAGAGCTGAGAATCAGGAGTTCGGTCACACAAAGGCGCACATTTCACACGCACAAACACGGAAAGCTGTGCTACATATATGAAGCACACACATATGTTAGAGCAGCTAAGGTGAGGCGAGGTCTGAAAAGGGCTTGGATGGTAGCTACACAGGCATAATTTAGCACTATCAGCAAGATTAAGTGGTAACACCTCTCTTGAAGGGACACAAATAATACAGTATTATACTATTACTCATGTATTAATTAGCCACAAACTAAGTCTTAGTTACATACTGATCTCATGTTCGTTAATCATTTATGAATTGTAACATGTCTTTTATCTCAAGTAGATACTATATTTGTTTATGATTTGTACTTCAGTAGTAACTGAGTTACTACTAAGTAATTGTGCCCCCTCAAGTGAAGTATTACTGATTAAGTACTCATTAATTAAGGCTGTAATCCAAGAGTTAGTATAGTTTAGTCTACCCATTTAGGGAGACACTTACTGTCAGACAGCGTGTGCACCTGCTCCCCCAGACTGGAGAAATAGGGGAGTCGGAGACCATCCTCAGCAGAAATTCGGTTCTTCACCGAAAACTTAAGGTAGGAAGATAGAGGACAGACAGGAAGCAGGAGCAGAAGGAGAGGGGAAACGATGAAAAGCAATGCTGACCGCACTCCTTTACTGACTGGACCTACTGTAAATCAATAAATCAATGGGGTAATTGTTAGAAGACCTTGTGTAACCAACCTGGAGGAGTTGGGTCAGAAGGTGAATCCCATCGGCGTCTATCCTGTGGGAAGGGAAAAGCCCAGCAGATACAGCCACCACTTAGATAATGATAGTGAGACGGCTACACGGAGCAGCAGCTTCAGGGTTTGCCGCGCTTGGCTCCAAAACCATACTACAGGACACGATAATGCCAAAGTGCAACTGTTACAAATGCACCTGACACAGCGGGGATGGTCAGCGAAAAAACCTAAAGGGTGTCACATTTGCAGACAGACGGGCACGAGGACATATAGATGTAAACAAAAAGGCAGGAAGGTGTGGTCCGACACAGAAATGGAGACGTACATACAGAATGATACAGGGACAGGTGGGCAGACCTATGCAGACAGACGAGTGACCAATGCAGATAGACGGGTGACCTATGTAGACAGATGGGAAGACTTATGCAGACACACGGGCTGGCTTGTCCAGATAGACAAGTGACCTGTGCAGACAGACAGGCAATTCATGCAGACAGACATGTGACCTATGCAGACAACGGGCAGACCTCGCAAACAGACAGGACACCTACAGTATGTACACTGATGGGCAGACCTATGCAGACACACAGGCAGGCCTATGGAGACAGACAGGTGACCTATGCAGCAGGGCTGCACAATTAATCGTAAAAAAAACACAATCTTGATTCACACAATCTCATTTCTAAATCACAATAGCAGAATCAAAACAAGTGCTCCTACTTTTACCCAGAGTGTTAAGCATCCCATAATTCTGCATTCTCTTTAAAGGGTGCTTTCCCACCGCACCAGGTACCGTACTTTTGGCACTTCAAGAAAGTACCAAAAGTACAGTACTTCACGGTATTCCACTGGCTTAGAAACCAGTACTGGCACTGAATGACATCACAGTGCGAGGTGGGGGGTATTTTATACTGAATTTAAAAAATAGCTGTATATTATAGGGCTGGCCGAAGGGTGATATTTATACCAACATCGCATGTTGTGCTGTGCAATTCTTACTTTGCCAGTCAGCTGGATTATGATCAGGCTTTTTTTACTTTCAGTTCTGTATACAGACATTTTCTTTTTTCGAGAGGCAAACAAACTACAGACAAACCAAAGACACTAACAAGTCTGGTAAAAATCTGATATTGCATGCTAGGATACTGTTATGATATGACATTCTCTAAGTCGAACACGTGCAATTACATTTATAACAATACATTTAACAAAATAAACATTTTTAAAGATTTATAAAATAGAATTACTGTTGAGTGTGTAAGCCGCCATGTTGAAATTACGTCACTGGGGCAACTCGGACAACAAAATCTTGTCCGACTTTAACGTAATAAAAGAGGCGTGTTTCCGACGGGAAGTGACGTTTTTCATGACGTTTTCATCCGAGTTCCGACTTGGAGAGAAATAATCAAACGCACCATTAGTCCTCCGTTTTAAGTCCGCATTTCAGTTTGTTTCCCCAGTCCGGTCATTGCGTGCGTTCGACTTGCTTACAGCGCTGGCTTATTAATGAGAAATAAATTTTAAGTTTAAATAAATGACATAAATGCTCTAATAGTACACGTAAGTTAGTGGTTTATTTATTGTTAGTTACTGTAATGTTGCGCTGCTTTATTTGGTTAATCGTCCAGTCTGTGAAGAAGGCATTCAAGTAAGAATTGCATTGTAGTATGACTCATTTCCTACAATTTATATTAGGTCGGCGTTCACGATTCAACTTCTGATATTCAGATCAAGTTCTAGGTCAAACTGGTTTGTTCGACTTTCAAGAAACTCGAGTTCTAGTGAGTTCGAGAACCGAGGTACCACTGTATATGTTTAAAAATCAGTTTAAAGTTTACCTCCACTGCCTTTGCATCAGCGCTGCATGCATTCTCTGAGACAATCATAATCATTTTCATCGTTGCTGTTCACAACTATTTGCAAGAAAATGGTTGTATTGCTTTTCAAAGTTAGACTATTTGCATAAGCATTCGACAAAGAAAGTGTTTCAAGTCCCACTTCAAAGTACTGAAGTACCAAAAAATTACCCCATTGGCACTTTTGGTACTGGAACTTTTGATATGACTGTTTTGGTTACCCTAATTGAATGGCCAGTTGATTGTTTCCTTTCAGTTGTCAGTAGTTGGTATGCCGGTCCTGGATCAATCATATGTTTGGCACAGTCATGTTTTGCAGTTTAATGAGCGCAATAAACGTTTAAATTTAAGAAAAAATCATTGTTACAGAGAATCGTGATAATTCTAAGCAAAAGAATCGCAATTCACATTTTTTTTTCCAGAATTGTGCAGCCTTACTATACAGACAGACCGGCAGAATTCAGCAGGTCTATGCAGACTGGCAGACTTATGCAGACAGACAGGTGACCGATGCAGACAGACAGGTGATGTATGCAGATCGAAGGGCAATTTTATGCAGACGGATTGCAGACCAATGCAGTCAGATGAGCAGGCTTATGCAGACAAACAGGTAGACCTATGCAGACTAACAGGCAGGCTTATGCTGACAGATGGGCAGGCCTATGCAGACAAACGGACAGGATGATGCAGACAGATGGGCAAGCCTATGCAGACAGATGAGTAGACCGATGCAGACAAACAGGCAGTCCTATGGAGACAGATGGACTGGCCTATGCAGACAGACAGGCAGACCTGGGTGCGTGGTTGACCAGCGGCTCAGCAGTGTAATGAGGGAACTGGTAGGCTCTTAATTCCTCACAGCTGGAGATTCCTGGCCAGGTCTCCTCTGTTGGAGAGCCTAGGAGTAGAACATATTCTTAGCTGAGTGTGCCTTGGTCAGTTTTTAATCAAACCTGCACTGAAAAAAAAATTAAAAATACATACACACAAACATGCTCACATGCAGGTATTTATACTTCTTTCGGGGAACAAAACGATCAGTGAACAGTTTTTTGGTGATGCACCTAGAATTCGGAATATCAAATGTAGCTCATCCTTCACTGTAGATCCAGGGAACAGGGGTCTACCCGTCATCATCTCGTAGAATATACAGCCTACCCCCCTGGTCAAACACAGACACAAAGAGAGAGAGAGAGTGAGAGAAAGAAAGAGACTCGGATACCCTCTATCATTTTAGATATTATGTTCTTTAGCAGATGCTATTACCTAAAGCTACGTAAATTTCGATAAAACAGGATCAGACAATCCCAGGAGTATTTTGGGGTTAAGGGCCTTCCTCAGTGGCCCAATGATAAAATCACTCTACTGACCCTGGGACTTGAACTGGCGACCATCCTATTCAGGCACAGCAACCTGACCCATTGAGATACACACCACCGCCTCTGCCCATTAACCTATAGGCTGATGCCTTGATTGTGATAGACGCAGTCTAGACTGAGAGTGGGAGACATCCTGTGAAAATGTGTGAGAGCAAAAAGAGAACCATTTGACAGTGTGGAGAGTCATGTGGGACTGTGCTGGACTGTATCTGTCCAGAGAAGAGTGATACAAGGACTAAACTAGAAAAAACTCAATATAGTTATGGAGCTATGTCAGACTACGATTGTGTTGGACTGCACAGGACTTTGCAGGGCTGATTTACCACATGTCGATGGGTGTTGAGTACTCTGTAGAGCCTAGCAGTACATCTGGCGGTCGGTACCAGAGAGTCACAACCTCGTTGGAATATGTCTTAGTCGGAACCGACTTAGCCCGGGCTAGACCTGGAACAAAAAGAACAGGAGGGAGGACATCAACTGGAAATAGAAATGCCATTTGTTTGCATGCATGTGTGTATATGTGTTTGTGTACTTTCACATGCATATCAGTCAGAGTAAAAGCCTATCACACCAAAGTCAGCCAACTTGAGCTCCCCCCTGTGGCTGATGAGTAGATTCTGGGGCTTGAGGTCTCTGTGCAGAACTTTCCTGCCATGACAGTAAGCCAAGCCCCGAAGCAGCTGGAATAGGAAGATCTGCAGAACAGGGCCAGAGGAGACAGGGCTACTTTTTATGGGCAGAGTGAACCAAAAATAATTCTGGGTACAAACAAGGTCATTCAGGCAAATACAAGACAAGGCATTCATTCCACACAACCAAAAAACTTGTAGACACACCTGAGACTGTCACATGTACACACAGATAACACACTCAAATTTACATACTTTCACACTCACCTTAACATTGTACACATCTAAGATATTTCCACAGTCATCCATGTACTGTTTCAGATCCTGCTCCTGGATAAGATGGAGGAGTGAAGAATGTCAAGTGGGGATGGAAAAGCCATGATCAGGGAGACAAGGGGACGCATACAGCACGTGGTAAAGTGTCGTCACATAGCACTGCTTCGGGCACATTCTATAGATATACTGTACAGTGGTACCTCGGTTCTCGAACTTAATCCGTTCCAAACTCCAGATCGAATCCTAAAAAGTTCGAGTTGTGATCGAATTTTTCCCATAAGAAATAATGGAAAACCAATTAATTGGTTCCCGGCCCCCCAAAATTACCCAAAAATTTTTTTTTTTTTTTTT